TTTTTTTGCAGAAATGCAGATTATTACGAGAAAATCTCCGACCCTTTGGATTTGGCCACCATTGAGAAGCAGATCCTGACCGGGTATTACAAAACCGTGGAGGCTTTCGATGGGGACATGCTCAAAGTGTTCAGGAACGCCGAGGTGAGGAGTGTTCTGAAATGAAAATCGCTGGGTATAAGAAAAAAAATATAAATTAAATTTTGGAGGGCATGAAAAGTGGTGAACTGGAAGTAGGGATGTGTTCTTCTCGAATGATTTTATAGGAAAACCCATCCCAGGCACACGCGGACCACAGCTAAACGGGATGGGAATTGGAAATAAAATGGAAATAAATTGGAAATAAATTGGAAAGAAATTAGAAATAAATTAGAAATAAATTAGAAACTTTTGGGTTATTTTATTTTTTCAGAAAAACTGTGGCAGGAAGTCCCCCATGGGCTGCGACGTGCACCTGCAGGCACACACGGACAGGAGCTCCGCTGGCTGGAAGTGGAAATAAATTGAAAATAAATGAGAAATAAATAAGAAATTATTGTTTTTTTAAATTTTTTTCAGAAATACTACGGCAGGAAGTCCCCTACCGGCCGCGATGTGCACCTGCAGGTACACATGGACAGGAGCTCCACTGGCAGGAGTGGAAATAAATACGAAATAAATTGGAAATAAAGCACATTTGGGTTTTTTTCTAAATTTTTTCAGAAATACTACGGCAGGAAGTCCCTGATGGGCCGCGACGTACACTTTCAGGAGCTCCACTGGCTGGAAGTGGAAATAAATTGAAAACAAATGAGAAATAAGTTAGAAATTTTATTGGTTTTTAATTTTTTCAGAAATACTACGGGCGGAAGTCGCCCATGGGCTGCGATGTGCAGCTGCAGGAACACAGAGACAAGACCTCCACTGGCTGGAAGTGAAAATAAATGGAAAACAAATGAGAAATAAATAAGAAATTTGTTTGTTTTTTAATTTTTCAGAAATACTACGGCAGGAAGTCACCAACAGGCCAGGACATGCAGCTGCAGGAACACATGGACAGGAGCTCCACTGTCTGGAACTGGAAATAAATTGAAAATAAATGCGAAATAAGTAAGAAATATATTTTTTTAAATTTTTTCAGAAGTACTACGGGCGCAAGTCGCCGACGGGCCGCGACGTGTGCCGGCTGCGCAAGGCGTACTACAGCGCGCGGCACGAGGCGGCGGCGCAGATCGACGAGATCGTGGGCGAGACGGGCAGCGAGGCCGACAGCAGCGACGCCTCGGTCAGCGACAAGGACGGCGGCCACGAGAAGGACGAGGACGTGATCCGCTGCGTCTGCGGCCTCTACAAGGACGAGGGGCTCATGATCCAGTGCGACAAGTGCATGGTGAGTGACGGCTTCTTCCTTATTAATTTATTAATTTGTTCGCTCATTGGTTGGTTTGTTGGTTTTTATATTACACATATATATTTTTATTATATAATATATTATTATGTATTATATGTGTTATATATTATATATGTTATATAGTATATTATGTATTAATTATATATAATATATATGTATATTATATATAATATATATCCTATTTAATTTTATTCATTTTATTTTTTTATGTATCTATATTACGTGCTATATATATATATCCTATTTAGTTTTATTTATTTTTATATATATTATGTATATTATATAGTATATTATATATATATACTATATATGTATATTATGTATAATATATATCCTATTTAATTTTATTCATTTTATTTTTTTATATATCTATATTACGTGTTATATATAATATATATCCTATTTAGTTTTATTTATTTTTATCTATATTATGTATATTATATAGTATATTATATATTAATTATATATATTTTATATATTATATAGATAATATATATCCTATTTATTTTTATTGTTTTATTTTTATATATTATATATATTATATACTAATTTTATATTAATTATATATGTTTTATGTATGATATACTATCTGTATATTATATATAAAATATAACCTATTTAATTTTAATGGAATTAATTTTWAAAATTTACTTTTAATTAATTTAATTTTTAAAT